CCGGGTCCCCGCCGCGCCCGGGTCTCCCTGGCCGCCTTCATCCCCCGTCGGCCGCCGTGGCGAGCGCAGAGCGGGGCGCGAGCGCTGTGAAGATGCGAGGAGGTGGAACAATGAATTTATAGCGGCATGCCATCCTGAAATGGCAATTTCAACAATTCGTCACTGTACGCTGCCTCTTGAAGAGAGAGAGAGAGGAGCGAGGGAGAGAGAGGGAGAGAGACCTTCCCCCACCACTCCCACCCTTCCTGCCTAATCAGATGGGGAGAGGCCAAGGGGGGGGGCGGTAAGAAGGGGGAAGGAGGAGGAGGGTGATCGAGGAAAGGGGAGACTAAGGAAGGAGGACGGGACTGGAAGGAGGGACAAAGGAGGGAGAGAGGGCGGGGTGGTGGTGGTGGTGGTGGTGGTGGTGGTGGTGGTGATGGTGGTGGTGGAAGTATTTGGGCTAGAAAAAAATTTTCCTTGGCCTCATTTAAAGCCGCAGCGACTGTGGGTCTGTCTGATTATTTCCTAACCAATCAGGGCTGGCTAGCCTCACCTTACCTCAACTCCCCCAGGGGTGATTTTCTTTCTTTCTTTTTTTTAAGTTACTGAGACTTTCAAATCGCTCCTTGCTTCCTTCTGCTTGCTTTTCTGGCCCTGGGAAGGAAGTTCCTGTTGGAGGTTGTTGTTGTTGTTGTTGTTGTTGCTGCTGCTGCCGTTGTTGTTGTTTGCCTTCTGCAAGCCCCAGTGTTCTGGCATCTCAGACAGCGCGCGGCTCGGCGCACTAGCCGCAGCTTTCAGCTTTCTGCTTGTCCTCTGGCCCCCCATCCTCCTTTCGCTTCCTCCCCAGCTGTCTCCCGCTTTGGAGTTTCCTGCCTTCTCCCTTCCCAGTCTATTTGAGCTCCAGCCCTTGCTGGGTTCAGGCTCTGGGCTGACTAACTTCTCCCAGCCACCACCAGCAGAGCACCGGGACCAGCGGGCAGCCGCGGGCACTTCCTGGCGCGTCGCGATGCCCAGAGCGCTGCAGGGTGTCCGGTGTCTCCCCTGCAGGGCTGCCCGGGAACTCCGCGGCTTTGAGTGCAACCCCCCCCCCAAACACACACCCCACCTCCAGCAGCCTTTCTTCAGAGAGCCTTTCTCCAGGGCCCACAATCTGTCAATTAATCGCAGCCACAAGAACTTCCTTTGGGTATAGGGTTGGAAAGGGTTAATGGTACAAGGGAATTTTGCTTGTTTCCTCCCCCCTTCACCCCCCCCATAGATTTTTTTTAAAGATTTTGTGCTTACACTTTCTGTTTTTATTCTTGCTTACATGACAAATACCCTTACGTGTGTTGACCGCTTGTCTTGTAAAAACCTCCACATTGCCCTGGTCCTTGAGTTCCTGTCATTTTCAGAAATTCCATTTAGGAGGCCAAGAATGAATAGTTTGTGATGAGAGAGAGGAAATTTGGTGATTATTAGTACTTGGGCATCCTGGTCGCTAGTACTTGTGACTAAGATTCTTGGTCCCCTATGTCTCCTCTTGTGATCAATTATAAGAAGGTAAAGGCAAACAAATCCTGTGATTTTGTAACAGCTACCTGGTAATGGCTACTTCAGGGGCAAGTGGAGTCTGTCCCCTGGCAGTCATTCTGGGGTGAATCCACAAATAACCAGGCAAAAATGAATCTAGTAGAATTCTCAAGGTCCCATCTTGTTCAGCCTCAGAGATTCCAAGAACAGCAGCAGCGGTCCTGCAGTTGATCATTTCTCTGGGAAATGATGTGGACAAAGATGTCCACTGCCCACTTCATGGAAGAACCCTCTAGCTAGACTCATTGAGGAGACAGTTGAACCCTGTTGTGACATTTGATTCTTGTTTATATATTAAATGACCATGCTGACGTCAGGGCCCCTAGTGGCCCCTGGAGGAAGGATCTAGAAGGAAGTTACTGGTAAAAGCTGTTACCTTTGGATTCTCAGTTCCTTCAGTCTCTCACTTGTCAGTTGCTGGTGTCCTGGAAGAAGCATCAGGGAGATTCTTCACCATTTCTAAAACAACTTTAATTCAATAAATTTAACCATTTCATCCTTGTGAATCTCAAAGAATCATTTTTGATAGGTTTATCAGGTGATAATAGTGTAAAGTTTCTGCAATATTTTGTATTGAGACAGATTTTTAGAATTTAAGGAAATACCAGCTAAGTTTCTTCTTCCTGAAGCTTTTCTCATTTTATCAAATGCCATTCTTCCCATATGAATTCCTCACCATGAACTTCATGCCTTTACTGTTAACAAATGGATGGCATTTGTACTCAGGTTATTCAAATGCTTAAACAGATTGAAGAACAGTTAAAGTTCAAAATGTAAATATCAAGTGATCAATATTTATTAGAACCACATATCACAAGAAAAGGAACTAGTAGAGTTTGTAGATATCATGAATAAACTGTTACTTATTCAGTAAAACTCTACTTGAGTATATTTAGATTTTTTGTGGAAGCTATTTCAGCATGCTAGAAAGTTCATTTGGTAATATTTAAAAAGTATAACCTGGGGAAGTGGTGCTGTAGCTGGAATGGTAGAGCGCTTGCCTTGAGCTGAAGCGCACCGGGATAACATCCAAGCCCAGAGTTCAAGCCCCACGACCAACAAAAAACAAACAAACAAATATAATCTGGGTGAATTATGATGAGCTATTATATTCCAGAAAATAATTAGTGTCTGTCACTTCAAGCAAGTAATCTGCACTGAATGAAAGTAGCTAATGCTTTCAATTTTTCACATAGAAAGACAGAATATAATCACAATCATGTTTCAGTGGACTAATTGCCTCTTAATTATGTTAGTATGCTGAGAAGCATTTTCTTTGTTCATATGTTTACATATACTCAATTGTAAACAGAAACACGCGCGCACATACACACACACACACACACACACACACATTTATGCCTTTCCTGGTGCTCAAACTCAGGGCCTTGCTTGGCTTGCCTTTTTCTTTCATGATTGCATTTTGCTACTTGAGTGGCACTACTGACTTCTATTAGCTAATTGGAAATAAGAGTCTCTTGGATTTGTCTGTTTGTGCTGGCTTCAAACTATGGTCCTTCCTTCTCAGCCTCTTGAGTAGCTAGGATTACAGGTGTTCTTTTTTCATATTTAAGGAAAAATTTCCACTGTATTTATAGAATATATATGTATATATGACTCCAAATTCAATAAACACATAACGTTACATTTCTCAAAATAAATAAATATTTTATTTGTACTTTCAGACTATTCCAAGTTAGAAATTATTTTGGAGATTATCTAAAGCAACCTCTTCCATCTACCAGGGAGAAACTAAGATCTGAAAAATTCCCTATGAAGAGTCAACTCTTCTGAAACCCCAGTCTCTCAACTCTTTAATTCAGTTTTCAACCTAAATATCTTTTAAAATCTACCCAGTTTAACAAATATGTGAAAGTGCAAAGGCTTTGTGAGGCTCTCGTGAGGGTGGTGAAGGTGGATAAGTCATGACTTCTGATTGCAAGAAACTCACGGTTCAGAGATGGAACCAATTCTATCAATAGGTAAGTTGGAATGTTCGCTGGCACATACAAACATACAGCAGAAAAGCAAGAGAGTAACACCTGCAGGTATTCTGCACTCTGTAGGATTTCTGTATCCTTGTAAGTATTTTTCTCAAATTTCCATTTGCTAAAGTGTCAGATCCTTACTCTCACCACAAACTATCATTTGGTAAGCATGAGGAAATATCTGAGAGTAAAATATCTCCCTCTAGCTAAACACCTGCTTCTTAACTCCTATAGAAGAATCACAGACTCTCAACTGTTTTCCTTTCCCATACTGAGTCCTTCTCCAGGACTGGCTGTTTTCTGAGCCTTCTAAGGCATACAATTCTCTCTTTGGTAGCAGGATGCATGGATTCATGGAATCAAAATTGTTCCATTACTTCCTGGTTCCATTTACAAATGCTTTTCCTTTTTTTTTTTTAACTTTGCTTCACAAATAGACAACCAAGTTACTTTGGGAAAATGGAGCCTTTTTACTATTCTAGTACTGATATAAATCCTAGAGGATTTTAGAGTATTTTTTAAGGAAATAACACCTGTACGTACAATCCTTCTTCCCTCCCTTTGCACCCATTTTCCTCTCCATTTCTTCCCATGTTCTACAACATCCATCTTGATGCATCAACACATACACACACACACACACACACACACACACAATCTCCCCCACAGTAGTAGCACATGTAGCATACACACATGCACAGTCTTGTTTTCCTCCAGGTTACACTGATGGGTGAATACAAGAGAGCTTAAATAATAGAAGGGATTACACCAACCAATTTTTTTTTCTGGCTGAGAAAATTTTCTTAAGACATGCACTATAGATAATGCTTTTTCTCTGAGAAATTTACTGAATGCATGACAAAACTCAAAAGAATTTTCTCTGTTTTCTAGATAGAACATGTCACAAAAACAATCTGTTTGGATGCTTTAGGATCTGGCTTATTTAGTATTACAAAAAAGAATTTCTTAGATGAGCTAGATTTTCAATATTTTGCACACAGAAATGTTAGACCATGTAAAAGCCTCCAAATGAATAATGTGCATATGTATTATTTAAGACATACAGGTGTTATCTGTAAAGTAAAACCAACAAGTCATTTTTTTTAGGGTGACCAGCTGTGAAATGTTGTTTTAGCTTTTCTCACACAATTATGCACGTCTTTCTTGTTTTTATGAGTTACTCAAATTTTCTCTCTTTTTTTTGTCTTTATTTTCCAGAACTTATCTCAAAAATCAAACCTTCCTGGAAACATAAAAAATCAGGAATTTCTAACTAAGAGTAATTTAAAACATTTGAGAATTTTTCTTTTTCCTTCATGATGGAACATTGCAAGCAAATGTTGCAAAGCACTTTAAGAGTGGTAGTTGAATTTATAAGGGTAATAGCAGTAGTCTTATAATCCTTATAATCCTTAGTCTTATAATCACATTTATTCTTAAAGTTAAATATGTCCTTGCTTACATTCCAGATTATTACAGCATTTCTTGAGATTTTCTGTATGAAATGTATTCACCTTATTCTCATAAGTAGAGAAGCTAAGGTAAGTCTGAAAAGCTAAAGACCATCAACTTCTTTCTTATTCCCCTCATCGGTGGTGGATAAAGACAGAAAACAGAAGCTGCCTAATTGATATGCTGACACTTCAGGTTGCTTTGGTGATGAAGGAAATACACAGCAGCACTTACTCATGACTGTCAGACAACTGCTTAACTCTCTAAAGCACTGCTTTCTTACTCAAGTACGAATGAACACAAAAGCAATTATCCAGTTTATAATCTTATTTTGGGATTTTAGGTAGCCGTTGTCATTCTTCCTCTACACGGATTTCCCAACACCAATCCTATTTGAGCTGTGGCCTAGAAAGAAACTTCCTCACAGAGGTTCACCATCCACTCTGCCCACTTCTAGATTACCATTTCTAGACACGATGGAAATTCCCTGTTTTTAATCACTAGCTGAAGCACTGTAAGGTCCCAAGAAGACTGTCACCTCTGAGCTTTGTATATATGAGCAGATGAGCTTCAAGCAACAAGGTAAGAGAATGTGGCCTATGACTATGACTGGTTTTCAGTTTGCTCAGGCTTCTATGTGATTCTTCCCCAGAACATCTCTCAGGTAGTTCTTCTGTTTTCTCCTTACAATCCACCTGTAGTCTGTCTACTCTGCCAGAGAGGAAATGGGATCCCTTTGTCTTTAACTATTTGGAATATCAAATTATTTTGAGGATGGTGGAGAGTGGGGAAAGATGAGGTTGTGAAGTCACTTTTGAGAGTGTTGCTTATATTCAGAACAAAGTCTCCACTAGATCTGTCCACAGAGGTCACCAGAACCAAATGGTTCAGGTGATTCTTTTGACAGATACTTTAAAGAGTTCTTCTGACTCATAAATTTATAGGATTAATTACCAACATTAGCTTCTAAATTGCTGGACACATTTATAATTAACCACATGATCTTTAACTTGTCCATCTGCAGCACCTACACTTATTTCTGACAAGCAGTAGTTGAACAATTATTTCCTCCATCTGTTAAGTAGCTCTCTTCTTCTTCCTAGTTCTGTTCTTCTTCCTTCTTGTACTTCAATAAACTGAAAAGGAAATAGTGAGAATTGAACCTAAGTATTGCAAATGTGTTAACAGAAAGAAACTGGGTAGGTATGACATACAAGTAAACTCCATAAAAATTTTCAGAACATTCATAAGTTACATTTAAAATGTGTAGTAGTTGGAGGATTAGAGATAAACTAGCCCATTAGAGTCTCTGCTAGCTTCTAGCTAATTGGCTTATTCTAGAAAAATGCAAAACTATGCCTTAAGACTCTGACATTTATTTCAAAATCTTGTAGATGCTTTTGATTGTTGATAGAAATTTAATCCTTTGAATGTCAAGCATGACTGGACATCTTAGGAAATTTGGCCTCCCTGTCTTTCTTCTTTTCCTTTCTTTTATGTCTGCTTCTTCAGTAGAGTATTGCAGCAAGAGTTCTTCATCGGGAAAGTTTTAGTTTTTAGCTGACTGGCAAGGAAGAGGCATAAATATATACAAATTAACTATGAGAATATGTGTTACCTGTTTCTTTAATATTACAAATGAAGGTGTTTATTAGTATTTGATGTGGGCTTTATTTATACCCCCCTTTGAATACAATTTTTCAAAGATACACATCCCTGCAAATGAGTAAAGTTG